TTGTTTCATTTCTTCCTTTCCAATATATATGTTTTTAATTTTCTTTTTCTTGCTTTATCACATTAGTTAGGATCTCTGGTACTGTATTGAATAGAAGGGACAATGGTGCACATCTTTGCCTTGCTTTTGATTTTAGGGGGAAAGCACTATCTTTCACCATTAATATTAACTGTAGGTTTTTCAGTAGCTATCCTTTCAGGTTAAATTTTTTTTCCTTCTTACATTTGCTGAGAGTTTTTATCATCAAGGCAAGTTAAATATGGTCAAATACTCTGGAAGATGTTGCTAATACTTCTATTTTCAGGAAGAGTTTTCAGAAGCCTTTAGAACTCAAAACACTTCTATTACTGCTTTCTTAAATGATTGGTAGAATTTTCCAGTAAAACCACATGATCTTGAAATTTTCTTTATGGAAACATTTTTGACTTCTACTTTGATTTCTTTTGTAGATATAGGACATTGAGATTATCCTCCCACCTTTTCTTTTTTTTCCCTATAGCTATGTCAGCTCTCTCCTACAATCATTTGGTTAATTCTCAGAGTTCTCAAATAGTTGATTCTGACAATTTTTACCTGTTTTTCGTTTTATTTGTGCTTGGTTGGTTGGATTTTTTGGTCATTGTTGCTTATATAGAGCAGCAAATTTTTAGAGGTCTTTACTCTGCCATTTTTGCTGACATTTTCTTTCCTTCCTCCCTTCCTCCCTCCCTCCCTCCCTTCCTTCCTTCCTTTCTTCCTCCCTCCCTCCCTCCCTTCCTGTGTCGCTCAGGCTGGACTGCAGTGGCGCGATTTCGGCTCACTGCAACTTAACGCCTCCTGGGTTCAAACGATTCTCCTGCCTCAGCATCCTGAGTAGCTAGGATTACAGGCATGCACCACCACACCCAGCTAATTTTTGTGTTTTTAGTAGAGACAGGGTTTCACCATGTTTGTTAGGCTGGTCTCAAACTCTTGATCTCATGATCCACTCGCCTTGGCCTCCCAAAGTGCTGGGATTAGCCACCGTGCCTGGCTTTTTGCTGACATTTTCTATCCATTTCCAGTGAGCTTTGGTAGCTTCTATCTTTCAGTGAATTTGTCCATTTTTTCTAAGTTGTTGAACTTATAGGCATATGGTTTTCTTAGTATTTCCTTTTCCTTTTACTATCTCTGTGTCTGTCCCTTCATTGTTGATATTTATAATTTGTGTCTTTTCATTACGGTCAAAGAGAATTATATCAGTTTTATTGACTCTTTTTCAAAGTGCCACCTTTTGAATTCAGTACTTTTTTTTCTTTCTTTTTTTGAGGCGAATTCTTGCTGTGTCACCCAGTCTGGAATGCAGTGGTGCAATCTCAGCTCACTGCAACTTCTGTCTCCGGGTTCAAGGGATTCTCTTGCCCCAGCCTCCCGAGTAGCTAGGACTACAGGCATGCAGCACCACGCCTGGCTGATTTCTGTATTTTTAGTAGAGACGAGGTTAGACTGGTTGCGAACTCCTGACTCAGGTAATCCACCCGCCTCGGCCTCCCAGAGTGCTTGGATTATAAGCGTGAGCAACTGTGCCCAGCCAGTAATTTTGTCTTTTTAAAAAATTTTATTGATTTCTGCTAATAGTTTCTTCTGCTTGCTTTGGGTTTCATTTGTTCTTATCATTGAATTTAGATCTTTTTGTTTCTAATATCAGCATTTGAAGCTATAAATTTCCTCCTAAAAACTGATTTTTCCATGTCCTACAAATTTTGATAATCTCATATTTTCGTTTTAACCCAAAACATTTATACTTTAATTTTTTGAGACAGGGTCTCAGTCTGTCACGCAGGCTAGACTGCAATGGTCTTGTCACAGCTCACTGTAGCGTCTAACTCCTGCACCCAAGCAAGCAATCCCCTGTTGAGCCTGTTAGTGAGTAGCTGAGACTGCAGGTGCATACCACCATGCCCAGTTAAAAAATTTTTTTTCTTTTTTTCTTTCTTTCTTTTTTTTTTTTTTTGTAGAGACGGGGTCTTACTATGTTGCCTAGGCTGAACTCTTGGCCTCATGAAGTCCTCCCACACTGGGATTACAGCTGTAAAACACCATGCCCAGACCAATTAAAACGTCTGAAAATCTCCTTGTGACATCCTTTTTAGCTTATGGAATATTTAGAAGTGTAATGTTTAATTTCAGAATATTTGGAAATTTTTCTGGGTATTTGTCTGTTGGTATCTAGTTTTATTTTGTCAGGCCATGACTGTTTATTTGTATGATTTTATTTTTTTTAATTTGTTACAGTTTGTTTTCTGGCTCAGAATACGGTGTCACTTGGTGCATATTCATATGCACTTGAAAAGAATGCATATTTTTCTGTTTGTGAGTGGAGTATTATGTAAATAATAGGTCAAGTTTGTTGACAGTGTTCTGTTCTTCGTCCTTACTAATTTTTTTGTGTACTTTTTTCTGTCAGTAACATCGGAGTGTTTCAAGTCTCAATTACAATTCTTGTATCTCTTTGGAGATGCTATATTATTGTATTCCCTGTTCTTGCTGTTGATACTTGTCACTCTCCTGTTCATTCTTTTGATATGATCGTCCTTTTGACCCATCTTGTTTTAAAGTCTTCTATCATTTGGTATTTTCTAGTTTGCACTACAATCTATTTTTAAATGAAATCCTTTCATAAACTTCTTTGTATATATTCTGCATGTTGTATCAGTTCATTCATTTAAAAAATTGGCTTTTGAAAATTCGCAGCCTTTACTCTTCAGAGATTTTCTTTTCTCACGTCTCTCCCTAATCTCTCTTTCTGGCTAGGAGTTGGATATATTTACTGTTTGCCGTAGCTGTTGATGTAGTCATAAGGTGTGGAGGGAGAGGAAGTGTCCTATAGTCCTATAATTAGGTCTGTCTTAGTGAGTCAGAGTTGAGTATTTCCCTACATGATGTCAAAGGCTAGAGAGGGCATTTATCTTACTCTAGGTCTGTTAAACTTTGGGAAAACTTAGATTCTGGTAAAATAGTTTCCTTTGAAGATAGTACTTATTAAAGAGAACGTCACTTTCTCCTGCCCCCTTTTGGAAGAATGAGGGGGTTTTTCTCCAGTTTTTATAGTGAGAACCTGGTAGGACCCCTGGAAGTAAAATTTAAGAAAGTATGGGAACCCCTTAAGAGTAGGCCCTCTTGGAGTTTTTAACTCTCAAGTGAATCTATATGGAGCCTCCAGCAATCTGTCAATTGTCAATTAGAGTTTAAAGTGTTCTACTGATACTAGGTCTAGCTGTGGACTTCTGCTGCCCATAAATTGTGATTCTCTGTATCTGCTTGTTTGTATTTGGGACAGCAGTTTGTCCTATGACCTCAATCGTGAGGACAGGAATGACAGCTTTTAAAATCTTCAAAACTTAAGTCTTGTTCTCTCTTTCTAGAATTCCAATTTCTTAACTTAACCTAACTTCCGTCTTTTGCTGTCTTATGTTTTCCATCTTTGTGACTCTCAGTGAGGCATTTTGGATAATTTTCTTGGAATCTGTTTTTCTCGATGTCTGATTTTCTTTTCAGCTGTATCTGCTGCCTAACTCATTCATCAAGAGTTTTTTCCCCAGTACTTGGTGTTATAATTAATTCAGTAAAATATCCAAATATTTAAAATCCAGCTTCACTTACTTTGACAAAGATATACACCTTAATAGCCAGCACCTAAATCAAGATATGAAATAGTTCCGTCACCCCAGGAAGTTTCCTCTTCCCACTTTCCAGTCAATTAGGAACTACCAACCAGACTTCCAAAGTATTCATACCATTTTCTAGTATTGAATTGAAGTAGAAGAGTTCAAGGTATTCCACATTCTTTGTAACACTTGGTTGGTCATTAAAAATTTTTTTTTAGGCCAGGCACAGTGGCTCATGCCTGTAATCCCAACACTTTGGGAAGCTGAGGTGGGTGGATCACTTGAGGCCAGGAGTTCCAGAGCAGCCTAGCCAACATGGAGAAACCCTGTCTCTACTAAAAATACAAAAATTAGTGGGTGTGGTGGCCAGTGCTTTTAGTCTCAGCTGCTTGGGAGGCTGAGGCACGAGAATCTCTTCAATCCGGAAGGTGGAGGTCGTAGTAAGACCAGATTGTGCCAGTGTACTCCAGCCTGGGCAGCAGAGTGAGACTGTCTGAAAAAAATTTGTAGATGTGCTGGTAGGTATGTATTGCATTGAAGGTTTGGTTGATTTGTTACTTAACAGTTAGAACCTTCATTTTTGGAAGTTCCATGGTTTTTATTTTTTCGAATTTGAGTGTTAGACTATTGTTGCATGCTTGTCTTAATGAATACCTCTTTTATTTTTTAAGGGACTCTATAATAGTCTGTTACCAATAGTGTGTTCTTTGATATATGATAAATCTGTACTCTTAATACTCACACATTCCTAATTATTGATATAACAAAGTTATTTTCTTCTCACATTTTACTAACATATCTTGGTAACACATTTTCTTTTTACTTGAAATATATTTGTTTTCCCTAGATGTAACATAAATATTGTAAGAAGACCCCTTAGAATATTTATATTCGAAGACCTACATTTGCTTTTCAGACCATATTCTAACTCAAAGACAAATAGCCCTATAGGAGAAAGAATAAGTGATATCTTTAAGATACCACTTTTGGAAGTTCCATCTATAAGATATCACTCATTCTTTCTCCTATAGGTCTGAAAAGATAAATGTGGATCTTCAAAGATTAATGTAGAATCTATGGGGTTACTTCAGGGTGCCAGGTTGTGATATTACTTCAGAATTGGCTGGCATTAATATATGTGCTTTTTTATGTATATGTGTACATATGTTTTGGATAAGCCCAAATTTTAGAGTTTGAGGATTTTGAAGTTTTTCTTTATGACTATCTTAAAGAGAGTATTTACATTTTTAAAATGTATATAATAGATTAAATAAAGTAAAATTAAATTTAGGAAATTAGTATTTTATCTTGTAGTATACATTTCTGTCTTGCAGTTATAAGTTTTATAGGTTTTATTTTTGTCTTCTGCTTTAGGCAATCCTTTATCACAGGATATTCTCAACTTATACCAGGACCCAGATGGAACCCGAAAGCTACTGAACTTCATGCTTGACAATCTTGCAGGTAACTGTTAGTGACAAAGCTGTAAAATAAATTCTACAGGTATTATTAACCAGCTAACATATCATATGTTGCTCAAGAGCATCTGTTTTTTATAATTGCTTATGGGGGCTGGGTGCGGTGGCTCACGCCTGTAATCCTAGCACTTTGGGAGGCCAAGGTGGGCAGATCACAAGATCAAGAGATCGAGACCATCCTGGCCAACATGGTGAAATTCTGTCTCTACCAAAAATACAAAAATTAGCTGGGCGTGGTGGCATGTGCCTGTTATCCCAGCTACTTGGGAGGCTGAGGCAGGAGAATCACTTGAACTTGGGAGGTATAGGTTGCAGTCAGCCGAGACTACATTCCAGCCTGGCAACAAAGTGAGACTCTGTCTCAATAAAAATATTCAGAGTTGATCAATGGAAATTAACACATTTGTTACAGAGGTCTTCTTAGTAAATAATTATGAATATGTGGCAATTTAAGTTGTATATGTATGTCGCATATGTATGCAGTTTCTAACTTACTTTAAAACGAAATATCTCGGCTGGGCGCGGTGGCTCATGCCTGTAATCCCAGCACCTTGGGAGGCCGAGACGGGTGGATCACGAGGTCAAGAGATCGACACCATCCTGGTCAACATGGTGAAACCCCGTCTCTACTAAAAATACAAAAATTAGCTGGGCATGGTGGCTCACGCCTGTAGTCCCAGCTTCTCCGGAGGCTGAGGCAGGAGAATTGCCTGAACCCAGGAGGCGGAGGTTGCAGTGAGCCGAGATCGCACCATTGCACTCCAGCCTGGGTAACAAGAGCGAAACTCCGTCTCAAAAAAAAAAAACCAAAATGAAATATCTCTTTTGTCTGTATAGATGTAACTAGTCGATCTAGCCATATATGTGTGCTGTGTGTGTGTATAATTTCGTGTGTGTGTGTGTGTGTGTGTGTGTGTGTAATTTTTAAGGAGTTCTTAGTATGTTTTAGATACAAGCTTTGTGTTGGTAATATGTTGCAAATACTTGCTCACGTGCTATTATTAACTTTTTCATTCTCTTAATTTGTCTTTTGACAAACAGAAAATTTTTAATGTACTCCTGTCCAATTTGTTGACCTTTTCTGTTATGGTACTGCTTTTATCCTCTTTAAGAATTTTTTCATACCATGGATCATGAGTGTATTCTCCTATGTCATTGTCTACAAACTGTTTTTTTTTTTTTAACTTATAATGTTTAGAATTAGGTTTTATGACTTTTCTATATGTATTTTATATTGACTGAGCCATTTATTGATTATGTGTCCTTTCACTACTGTTTTTTAATGTTATCTTTGTCATAAATCAGGTGTCAATGTATGTTTAGGTATGTTTCTGGATTCTCTGTTCCGTGAGTCTTTATAGCAATGTAACAGTGTTTAATTATGGAAAGCTTTATAAAAAGGTCTTGAGATTGGGTAGAGTAATCCAGTAGAGTAAGTCTTCCTCCTTGACCTATTCTAAAGAATCTTGGCTAGTTCTGGCCTTTGTGTTCTTTTACCTTGTATTTTTATTAAAATTTTTGGAATGAGGTTTTTAATTCTCTCCCCTCTCTAAAATGTAGAGATTTAATTTGGGATTATATTGAATCTATATATTGCTTTGGAAATCAGTGATATTTACAACAGTGGATCCTATTCTTTTATTTGTTATGCCTTTTATAATTTCTTTCAATATTGAGTTTTAGGTTTCTGTGTAGTGGGCTTGCCCATATTATATTACATTTATTCTAAATTTTGACTTTTTAATTGTCTTTAAAAATAGTCATTTTAAAGCTATATCTTACTATCTTAATGGCAGATTTATGGAATACAGTTGAGTTTTGTATATTTTTTGGTACTCAGTCATCTTCCTAAATACTTAATAAATGCCTTGCTGAAGAACTTTATTCAGCCACTTTACTAAATAGTTTTTAATGCTAATGCATTTTTATTTTAATTTATACAATTATGTCATCTGCAAGTAAAGAGAGTTGCATTACTCCATTTCTAATTCTTTTGATTTTCTTGCCAACCTGCACTTATTACACTAGCTAAAGTAGTGATAATGGACATCGTCTAATTTCATAATTTTTCGTTAAGTATCCTATTCACTGTAGTTTTTATATAGATAAACTTCATCTGATGAAGGAAGTCTTTTTCTATTCCTAGTTTGCTAGGTAAGTCTTTTTTTTTTTTTTTTTTTTTTTTTAATATGACTAGATTTTGAATTTTATCAAATGCTTTTTTTTTTTTTTTTTTTTTGAGACAGAGTTTCGCTCTTGTTACCCAGGCTGGAGTGCAATGGCACAATCTCGGCTCACTGCAACCTCTGCCTCCTGGGTTCAGGCAATTCTCCTGCCTCAGCCTCCTGAGTAGCTGGGATTACAGGCATGTGCCACGATGCCCAGCTAATTTTTTGTATTTTTAGTAGAGACGGGGTTTCACCATGTTGACCAGGATGGTCTCGATCTCTTGACCTCGTGATCCACCTGCCTCGGCCTCCCAAAGTGCTGGGATTACAGGCTTGAGCCACCGTGCCCGGCTATCAAATGCTTTTTATTAAGATGAGTACATGATTTTAAGCCTTTAAAATGGTAATTATATTGACAGCTTTTTTTTTTTTTTTGAGACGGAGTTTTGCTTTTGTTACCCAGGCTGGAGGGCAATGCCATGATCTCGGCTCACCGCAACTTCCGCCTCCTGGGTTCAAGCGATTCTCCTGCTTCAGCCTCCCGAGTAGCTGGGACTATAGGCATGCGCCACCATGCCCAGCTGGTTTTTGTATTTTTAGTAGAGACGGGGTTTCACCATGTTGACCAGGATGGTCTCGATTTCTTGACCTCGTGATCCACCCGCCTCAGCCTCCCAAAGTGCTGGGATTATAGACATGAGCCACCGCGCCCGGCCTGTATAGATGTTTTTTTTGTATGTTTTTTATGTATAACATACAAAAAAAACCTTTGTATTCCTAGAAAAAGCCAACAAGGTTCTGATAAATTATTATCATTTTTATATAACCCTAGATTCAGTTTGCTAATATTTTATTTAGTTTGTTTTTTTTTTTTTTTTTTTTTTTAGTGAGACAGAGTTGTGCTGTCACCCAGACTGGAGTATAGTGGTGCAATCTCAGCTCACTGCAACCTCCTCTTCCCAGGTTTAAGTGATTCTCCTGCCTCAGTCTTCTGAGTAGCTGACATTACAGGCACACACTGTCACGTCTAGCTAATTTTTGCATTTTTAGTAGAGATGGGGTTTCACCATTTTGGCCAGGCTGGTATCAAACTCCTGACCTCAAGCAATCCGCCCACCTTGGCTTCCCAAAGTGTTGAGATTACAGGTGTGATTCAGTGCGTCCAGCTTGTGTAGGATTTTTTGCATCTGTGTTTATGAGTCAGATTGGCCAGTACTTTGAAAACTTGACATTAAAGTTATACTGGCTTTGTAAAATTTGTTTAAGTATTTCCTTATTTACTGTGGTTTGGAAGAATTTATTTAAGGTTGTTTGTTTTGTTTTTGTTTTGTTTTTGTTTTGTTTTTTTTGTAGGAAGTTTTAAATCACTGATTTAATTTCTTTAATAACTATAGTACTATTCTGATTTCCATTTCTCCATGAGTTTCTGAAAGTTGTGTTTTCTGGAAATTTGCCCATTTTATCTAAATCTTCAAATTTACTGGCTGAAAGTTGTTCAGAATATTTTATGATGTCTTAATAGCCTTAGGATGTGTAGTCACGCCTTTTTTCCATTTCAGATATTAGTTCATTTGTGTTACCTTTGTTTACTTAATGCAGAATCTTGTCCAGTTACTTATTAATATTTTCTTTAGAAGAACCAACTTTTAGCTTCCTTGGTGTTCTTTATTATGCTTATTTTTAATATCATTAATTTCTTTATTTCTTCCTTTCTTCTGATTTCATTTGCTATTCTTTTTCTAACTTACAGTGAACATGCCTTAATTTACAGTTCTTTTTTCTCAAATATATTTATGTATATAAATATTCCTCTAAAGTGGCTTTTAGCTGTATCTCACAAGCTTTAATTTGTATTATTTTCATTATCATTCAGTTCAGTATATTTTGTAATAGCCCTTATCATTTCTTCTTTGGCCTAAGAGTCATGTAGAAACTTGTTTCTTTATTTTCATTTCTTTATTTTCGGGGGAGTTCTTCTAGTTGTCTTTGTCATAGGTTCCTAGCTTAATTCCATGTGGTTAGAGAACATACCCTGATTTATTTAAATTTTAAAAATATGTTATTTATTACCTCTGCTGATGATTAATGTTTGTAATTAAGTATGCATTTGAAAATAATATCTCTTCTCATTAGATGCAGTTCCTGTATATTAGTTTGTTAATTATATTGTTTGAATGTGTTAGATGTACTTAATGATTACTTTGGTTTTATTCATTACCAGTAGAGCTATGTCAAAATGGTTGGTTTGTCTTCTTGTAGTTATTTCAACTTTTTAATTATATATACTTAGGGTGTATTTTCATGTGTTTTATATTCATGGTTATTCAAACTTTTTATCTTGCTGCAAATTTACTGATTGCTTGTTCTTTCCTTTTTGATGTTCCATTTCTAATTCTATTTTTCTTGATATTTAGAGTTTCCCTAGCTCACTACAGCATCTAACTCTTGAGATCAAGTGATCCTCCTTTCTTAGCCTCCCACATAGCTAGGACTACAGGCTTACATCACCATGCCTGGCTAATTTTTAAGTATTTTTGTAGAGGTGGAATCTCAGTATGTTGGCCAGGCTGGTCTTGAACTCCTGGCCTCAGGTGATCCTCCCATCTTAGCCTTCCAAGGTGCTGGGATTACAGGTGGAAGCCACTGCATTTGGTCCCCTTTTAGCTATTTTTTAAGGGCATATCTGCTAGCAATTAAAGTGTTTTCCTTTGTCTGTTAACATTATTATTTCCCCTTGATTTCTGAAGGATAGTTTTCTGGATACAGAATTTCCAGTTGACAGTCTTTTCTTTCAGTCCTTGAAAAATGTTGTACCACTTCCTTAGGGTTTCATAGTTTCTTAAAGGAAATCTAGTGTCATTTGAGTTGGTATCCTATAGGTAATACATTATTTCCATGTGGTGTTTTTAAGGTTCTTTCTTTAGTTTTCAGAAGTTTAGTTATGATCTATCTTGGCATGGATTTCTTTGTGCTCTTTGTATTTGAAGTTTGCTCACCTTCTTAAATTTGTTAGGTATAAATCTTTCACATAAATTTGGACATTTTCAGCTGTCCTGTCTTAGAATACTTTTAAGCTCCACATTCTTTATCCTGTCCTTCTGGAACTCTGATAATACAAATCTAGATTTTTTAAAAATCATATTTTCACAAGTTTTTTCAGGCTCTGTTCATTTGTTTCAATATGTTTTCAGACTAGGTTCTCTTGATTCATTCTTAAGTTCACTGATTTTTATCTTTTTGTATCTCTGTTGTGCCTTTCCAGTGAGTTTTAAAATGTTGGTTATTGTATTTTTCAGTTTGATAATATCTATTTGATACTTTTAAAAGAAAAATTTATCTGTATTTGCTGGATTTTCCTGTTCTTTTCAAGGATATTTGTAATTGTTGTTTTGTGATGGCTGTTCTAAAATCTATCAGATAATTTCAAAATCTGATTCAGCTCAGTGTTGTTATCTGTTGGTTTTTAACACTTATGTTGTGATTTTCCTGGTTCTTGATATGACCCATGATTTTTATTTGTACCCTGGATGTTTTGGATATTATGTTAGGAGACTTTTGATCCTTTTTAAATCTCTGATTTCATCAGGCAATTACCTTATTTAGGTTTAGCATGTAGATTTGGTTGTCTCTTCAGGTTCAGCTGACACCTGCACTGTGGGCAGATCAGGCCTACTGCTGCCAGTCAGTGTGAGGTGTAGGGAGGTGTGGGGAGGGAGCTCAACCTCTTGAGCTCCGTTGAAGAGGTTGCATTTGACATATTGCATCAGCAATATATTTATTTATTTTATGTAATAGTAACCCGTATAACTCTTTATTTCTTTGTTTTGTAGTATCATTGGCCATGTAGTTTCATCTTCTAAAAACTGATTTTAAATGCATGTCTGACATGAATATATTATCCTTTTGTAAAATATGTTAAAATTCATGTTATGATTAAAATTTCTTTTAATCATTACTTTTAATCACAGTCCCTTCCATGCAAGTAATCACACTTGTAAGTTGGGTGTATATCTTTTTACTTTCTGGTAAGCATTTACATACAAAAATTGAACCCGCAGAAATTTTATACTATTAATTTTAGTGTGTGCTTTTAAATATTTTTAATAAAATGTCACATTTTATTATTTTTTTCTACTTATTTTTACTCAACAGTATTCCATGGATATGTTTGCACTTGAACACATATTTATCTTGTTTCTTTTTAAACTATAGCATAGACTTTCTTAAAATGGACATTATTTAGCCATTTACCATTGCTTTTGTGAATATAAACAATGGCATAATGGATGTCTAAAGAAGATAGTAGATAGGGCTGATCCCCCTAGAAACAGAAATTTGCTCAGTCATAGGGATATGTTCATTTTCAAGATAATTGTGCTAATTTATATTCCTACCAGTTGTACTGCTGTTTATCACCATCACCAGTCCTGGATGTTTTTGAACTTAAAAATTTTGCATGAACTTGGGTAATAAATACACCATCTCATATTTTAAATTTACCTGGTTAGTAGCAAGATAGAGTATTCTTTCATACTGTGTTGTTATCTCTTTGGATATTGTTGATTACTGTGCATTTTACTTACACTGCTACATTGTGATGTACTAGTTAAGATTTGGAAGTACCAGAATATTAATATATTACCTGTTTTATTTTAGAAGTTTGTTGATTTCTGAATTTTTAACTGAGTCAGCTTAGGTAGATTTTGCTGATAAGGATTACAATAGCTAGAATTTTTTTTGTTTATTCTTTCTTTTTTATATTAGATTTTTCATTTTTAAGACACTTGCTGTGACTCTGCCATGGCACTCACATAGCCAGCAAGATTGTTTTCTGGGATTCAGTTTGTTGAACAAGCTGGATGATTTGTCTGTTACCTTATAACCTCCTTTTATTTCCTGGCAAGATGTGGAATATATGGAATGTATTCATTCTACTCTGAAAAGTATGGCTGCTAAAACAGAATACTATATAGGTATACTTTGAGAAGACCAAAATGGTTAGTTAGTAAAGTGACACTTTTAAAGATCTGTGCTACTTTGGTCAAAATTTCTGTGGCTAGATAATAATGGATTGTTTTTTGTTTTAAAGAAGTACATTTCTCAGTTGCTAATACCATGGGCAAATCTGCAAACTTACATCAAGTTGTCCTGCAATTTCAAAGATTTTGAAAGGGAGAGAAAAGGGGATAGTTAAATATTAACATCTGATAGTTAACATCAGTTAGTTTCATAGTATTGATAACCGTATCTGAGCAATTTATGTTTAACAAGTGCCTTCCTTTTTTTCTGCATAATGTAGTTCTATCTTTTATCTCTTGTTTTGTGTTGACATTATACAAGAGAGCGAATAAAATCAGGAAATGAAAGCCCCTCTAGAAAATTCACTAACTTTAATACATTTGTATGTACTTTTTTCTATATTAAAGATGTTTGAGTGTTTTAATTCATCAGGGTTGGAATTTCAGATGGCTTTGATTTCCCAGAAGGCTAAGTCTATACAATTTACATATATAATTAAAGACCTAAGATTCTACTTAGAGTTTTAAATAGGTACTTTTCATAAATATCATGTAAGTGAAAATGCCGTTAATGAGTTTCCTAATGTTGTTTTCTTATATTAGTTCTGTGATCTCTGCATAGCTTTTCTTAAATTTCCTTTGGCTTCTAAATCTTCATTAAATTTCAGCATTAGGTTTTTCAGTCACTTTGCAGGCCATTACAGCAGAATAGAAAACAAATGGTTTTGACATTATAAACTAACTGATAACAGTTTCAGAAACACATGAAATTAACCTGTATTTACAATTTTTTTTTTCAGTTCATCCAGAGCAGCTTCCTCCGAGGCCATGGATTACATTAAAAGAACGAGACCAAATTCTGCCATCAGGTAAATAGTCTTTCTCATTATTCCTTCATTTTTTTTCAGAAATACTTAAAATGTCATTTGGACTTCATGATCTGTAATAAATAAGACTTCATTTTACTTCTCATGGGTAGAAGAGTTTAAAAATACTGATGGATAGACTTTTTAAAAGTTCACATTAAGACAGAGCTGTCAATAGCTGTCTTATATCTTTCACAGTAATGAAGCCCTTGGTTTTAAAATTATTTCTATAGTACAGCTTTCCAAATGACATCTTCCCAGATGACTATTGGGTAATTTAAGAAAAAATGAGTAACAATGATTTTTCTTGTGAAAAATTTTAAACTACTGAGAAGTACTTTATCTTTCCTGATAGGTAGATAACATTTATGGAAGAATAATGTAGACTGAGCATATATTTACTATACTGGCAACAAAGTATAGTACCAGCTCAGGGGTATAGAAATAGTACATGGTATTTGAGCAATATAAGGATATAATCTAGCATTTCTAGAACGGAAATAATGTAGAAAACATAGGCCTTTATCTGTTTGTGGGGACCAATAATCGTTTGACATTTATAAAGCTTCTTACTACATATTTGATATTTTAGGCATGGGAATTCTACTTAAAAGTCATGAATTACTGTTTTTCCAAATGCCTTTTTTAAAATCACAAGAGTAATAATTTTCATAATATCTAACTTCATTTTAAAATTAAATGAAAATTTTAAGCATTTCAATATGAAGATTAACCCAGTCACAGAATAGTGGTACATTAATAAATTTTGGCTGGGCACTGTGGCTCATGCCTGTAATCCCAGCACATTGTGAGGCCAAGGTAAGCAGATCACTTGAAGCCAGGAGTTTGAGACCAGCTTGGCCAACATGGTGAAACTGCATCTCTACTAAAAACACAAAAATTAGCCAGGTCTTGGTAGCACACTCCTGTAATCCCAGCTACTCAGAAGGCTGAGGCATGAGAATCACTTGAACCTGGGAGGCAGAGGTAACATACAGTGAGCCAAGGTCATGCCATTATACTCCAACCTAGGAGACAGAGTGAAACCCTGTCTCAAAAAAAAAAAAAAAAAAAAAAAAAAAAAAAAAAAAAGTTAAATAATTAATTGTTAAAGGGCAAATCACAATTAGACTTTATGTATATTTTGAGCAATATTAAGGCCTTTTGTTTGGGAGTTTTGGGCTTTTTTTAATTTAAGAGGATTCAGAACGAATCTTTTTTAAAGTATTTGGAAATGTGGCTATGTAGACTCTTCATGGTTCTATTTGCATTTTAATAGCACTACAAAATATTATAATATGCAGTACATTTTGTGTCTTTCAGAGGTAATAATTTTAAAACCACCATACTCTAGGGCTGCAATATCAGCTTGTTTTAAGAGACACTGTGTCAATGTTATGAATAACATTTTTACTATCAGGTTGCACATTGGTAGTTTAAGTGAAAGGAATACCTAAGGCTTTCAACAAAACTTAAAGCTAGACAGATTTATTTTATACTTGGTTTTTCCTAGTGAATAATTAATTATTCCCCTTTGATATTAAAAACATCATTTTTTAATTTTTCATGGAATGAGTGAACATAATCTTGAAGAAAAGATTTTCTAATATTGCATAGCTACATTTCCATTAAGAAAAGGAACAGTAGAAACAAATTTTCATTAGTTGCTGAATTCTCAAGGTTTTTGGATTTTACTTACTGAAAAACTAGTTTGGATTTTTCTTTTGAGGTATGGTGCTTCCCTGAGTAGCATCTGAGTGCTAAAAAAAAGTTATTGTTAAAAATGCATTTTACTTCTGATGCATAGAGGGATGTATATAATACCTTATGGTGATTAAGGGTGATGTATTGCTAAAAAGAACCCTATAATGATAAACTGTTTGAGAATCAAGCCTAGATAATAAAAAAGGTACCACATAGTTATAAGAGATGAGTGATAATAACACTTACCTAGTTTTTTCTTCTGTTTAAAAATTGCTGGTTCATTGTCAGGCACTGGCAGGGATATAAAGAGTTTTGGATATATTATAAAAATTGCAATCTCTGATCTTTTTAATGAAATCTCATTTTACAAAGTCTTAGGAAAAAACTGAATGAAGCAAATGACAATCTGCCTCTTTCACCTTACTTCCAAATGATATTTTAAATCCTGAGAAGCATAGTGAGGTAAATTCATGGTGCTTTCTTCACAGTGTAGTGGCTTGCAAATGATTTTGGGTCATTTTCAACATAAATATTCAGAAAATACAAATCAACTCAAATTGAAATTTAGCTCCCAATGTACAAAATGGTCAACAGTCAGACTCCCAGGGGACTGAGCTGAGTTTCTCTTAATACCTTTTCCATCATCTGAAACAGAACCAACTTTAATCAAGTGTGACTTCACTTTGGATTCCTCATGTTTTATTCTCAATCATGTCTGTTCGTTATAGTCACCTGGGAAGCTGGGATGGTTTTTAAAAATACAAATAGCTAGACTCTTAATATTCCAACTAAATTAGTTTTGAGTCAGACCCTTACTATCAGCATTTTTCTTTTAGAGTTCTACTGTGATTCTATGAAGTAGTTTTGTAGTTCTACGAAGTGATTCTACTGGGCAAAAGATGGAGAATTACTGATAAAAATCAGGGCTTTTCAGACTTTAACATACAAATGCATATGAATCACCTGGGGATTTTGTTAAAATTGCAGATCCTGTCCAAAACAGGTGTTTCTGGGGCCACAGATTCTGCATTTATAAGTTCCCAGGTGATTGATTACTGATGGAGCTGATCTTCACAGAACGCTTTTCAGTAGCAAGCATACAAACTATCTTACTTGTTTTTTTATAGTTTAAGGACATTTAAAAATGAACATTTTATTTCAGAAATGAACATTTGGTTGACAAAAAGGATTGTCTTATAACTAAATTTTGTTAGTCCATACTCTTCTGCCTCAAAGTAGTGATAGCACTAGGAGGCCCCCAGAAATATTTTGTTGATAAAACGTAATGAGGTTAGAGCTCTTTAATTAGAATCCAACTACAGTTTACTTTTGTTCCACTCATTTAAAGAAGCTTTTCTCAGCAAGTTATAAGCAAAAAATTAGCAGATTTAAAATTTAAATTTTTTATTAAAATATATTTTCTCGAAACTCTCAAATACGAACTGTTAGTCTAATTCTAGACTTAGTAAAATAAATTTTGTATGATGGACTCCAATGATGCTTTAGTTGATTAGCAATCTTAATCTTGCCTTGGCATTTTACAATGATGATTTGTGGCGTATGTGTGTGTGCTTGTTCAGGTGTACACATGATATTGCTTTAGAAAAAGTTGCCTAATTTTCTCCCGTTTGTCTGTTGTTTTTTTCTCCCACTTCTTAGCATCATTCACGGTTATGTGTTACAATGTGTTATGTGATAAATACGCTACCCGGCAGCTATATGGCTATTGCCCATCCTGGGCATTAAACTGGGAATACAGGAAAAAGGGAATTATGGAAGAAATTGTTAACTGTGACGCAGATATCATTAGTCTTCAGGTAACACCATAGAAATTAAACTGTCTTTAACTTAAAAGGTGAACTTAAACATAAGAGAAGATCTGACCAATGGGAAAGATCCTGTGTTCAAAGCCAAAGTTCAAAAAGAATTGTTTTCTCTCCTTCTCTTAAAAAAAATTGACAATTTAAATAAGCATTTAAGACATTTCCATAGTGAAACTATTTTGCTGACTGAATACAACCATCTACTTACATTTACTATTAAGTGGAAATAATCTTACCCATTATTCATGTTAATATTTACCTCATGATCATTGGTATTGCTGAAAGAGAAAACCACAGAAGATTGCCAGTCTTTTAGGAATAAAATTTAACTTATAATGGAGTCTGTTTAAAAAACAAAAAAGCTTGCCAACAGCTATTTCTTAAACAGACGTATTTAAAAATATTGTGCTATAAGTCATGCATATTTGCCTTACCTTTCTTTATAAACCATCTCTGAAATTTAGATTCTCCTGTTTTATAGCATTTTACTAATTCAACTTTACTAAAGAAGCAGCATCTTTTCATTAAATGTGTTTTATTGCTTCAACATGTAGTTGATGATTACCCAAAAAGATGTATGAATAGTTTTTAGTAACTTTTTATTTTTAGCAACTTTCAAAGCATATTAAGTGCTTAAAGGTTTAAATTTTAATTGACAAATAATTGTATATGTTTATGAGGTACAATGTGATGTTTTTATACATATGTACATTTTAAAATGATCAGATGAGGCTAATTAACATATTCATCAACTCAAAAACTTAGTATTTCTTAAAGGTGTTTAAAAATGTTGTGTCTTACAGGCCAGGTGTGGTGGCTCACACCTATAATCCCAGCACTTTGGGAGGCCAAGGTGGGTGAATCACTTGAGGTCAGGAGTTCAAGACCAGCCTGGCCGACATGGTGAAACCCCATATCTACTAAAAATGCAAAAATTAGCTGGGTGGAGTGGCGTGCACCTGTAATCCCAGCTACTTGGGAGGTTGAGGCATGAGAATCACTTGAACCCAGGAGGCAGAGGTTGCAGTGAGCAGAGATCACACCACTGCACTCCAATGTGGGTGGCAGAGTGAGATTCTGTCTCAAAGAAAAAAAAATGTTGTGTGGTACAAGTTCATACATTCTTTTCATCATAGCCTGAGAGGAAAAATTATTTTGAAATTTTTTTATGTAACAGAGTAGCTTGATAATTTGTTTTTATGTTGCTTGAGGAAAAAAGTAAAAATCTTATTAAAATACAATTATTCTAAACATTGAGACTGACAGAACTGGGGAGAAAAGGAGGCAGACAAAACTAGGCTGTTACAGTTACTTGTCTACCTCTTGGTTTAGTATTTGTAGTGATAACAGCCTCACACCTTCCTAAATATAGCAGTTTGAAGGATAAAACATTAAAATTTGAGAAAATTGTCTTCTCATTATAAAAGCAGTGCTATAATACTACACTGGATTAAAAAGATCATTCTAGAAAAGTTGAAAATTTTGAAAAAATATAAAGCATGGCAGAAGGAAACACCTAATTTTATGTCATAAGATAGTTGTGTTGAAACTTCTGGAGTATTTTTCTTCTACACATTAAATAAACCAAATATATTTACAGATACATTTTGTTTCTTATTTATTATACTTAATGGGTTTTCCATGTTGCTAAAACTCTTCAAAACTAATTAATTATATGAATGTATATTGATTTAGCTTTTCCCCTGCCATTAGACATTTAGTTGTTTATGGGTTTTTGCTGTCATAAACTCATGCTGTTAGAAACATCTAGATACATAAATTATCTTCATATTTATTTCATTTGGAAAGATCTGTTGAAATATTTTATGGGTCAAAGGATAGAACAGATTAATAATTATCAAATTAATAGAGGCCATTGGATGATTGCTATATAGGTACTTAAAATTTTCTTAAAGTAGAATTTTTTGTGAGTAGATTTTACACTTCTCACTCCAGGGTATCATTCCTTTCCACCATAGTTCAGAATGATAAGCAATTTAAAAAATTTTTCTTTTTATATATAAAATATACTGTTCCCTATCACAGAAATCTATCATATACCCAACTTGCTTTGTTTAATTACCAGTCTTGAGGAAATACAGTATAATGAATGAACTGTAAAGTGGGAATCAAGAGACTTTGGGATGTAGTCCTACTCCTGTTACTATCTGAGCATGAGAAAATCATGTCACCTTTCTGGTTCTTTTATGTTTAAAAAGCTGTCATTGTCACGTAGCAGCTGCTAGCAGTCAGGTAAGATAGTAAGATAATATTTGCTATGTGAATTATTTTTACTAAGTTGCATCTTACTCATAATGCTGAACATTTTTGTATCTTAATCAGCATTTTCCCTGTGTCATATAGATGATAACTTTTCTTTCATCTCAGGAAGTGGAAACAGAGCAATACTTCACTCTCTTTCTGCCAGCATTGAAGGAGCGTGGATATGATGGATTTTTTTCTCCAAAGTCACGTGCCAAAATCATGTCTGAGCAGGAGAGAAAGCATGTAGACGGTTGTGCAATATTCTTCAAAACAGAAAAGTAAGTTCAGTAAACAAAGTGCAGTGGTGTACTTTTATTTATTTAAATTCTCACACTTTAAAACTGACTTTGGTTTGGCCCTATGAAATAAAGAAAAAGCTGGAAAACAAGTATTATGCAACTTAAAACTATTGTTAATGTTTCATTTCCCAGACTTTGTATTTGAAATAAGGATATTTAGTGTATTATTCTTTATGCTTTTATTACCAAATAACACTAAACATTTGAAGAGATACAAATTTAAATGGTCTCATATTTCAGAACATATTTTCATGAAGTTTTTTTTTTGTAAAAAAGAAAGTGGTATCTTTTAAGGTTAGCCATAAGTGATCTGGGTTTCTTTCTGTGATTTTTTTTTCTTTAATAGTGGTCCTTTTTGAGAATCATTGATTTTACCAATCTTTTCTCTTTTACAATTAACATTTCATACAATTATCTAATCATTTATTCACTAAATGTTTACTGAGCATTTGCTTTGTGATAAGTCCTGTGCTAGACACAACAGACACAAAGACAAGACATAGTTCCTAATCTCACTGAAAGCTCAAATCCAGTAGGAAAACTAGGCATATAAGACAATTATAATATCATATGGTATATATAAGATAGAGCTATACATGGATGACTAGAGAGTCACAGAACTTAACGAGGTAGAGAGAGACAGGGAAATGGAAAATGGAACATGATGTCTGATAGAGGTTGAATCCCATGGTTAATAATTTGGATTTGATAAATTAGGGAATCATCTACTTACAGGATAAGTAGATCCATGCTTATGGCTATTTTCCAGTATTTCCCTGTTTAAAATCTATTTTAACAAAGCCATTCAGTGTTTTTAATTGATACAGGCATATTACCAGCATGACATGCCACTTTAAGTAAATAAATTGAGTAAGTTTGAAAGATACTTGGTCCAATTCCCATTTATCTATGCTTACTTTCCTGTATTTTCCATTAATTTGTTAGTAGAGGTATTCCTATTTTGGTTAATAATTAGTACAAAGCCTTGTAATATTTGAGATCAGAATATACTGAATGCTTCTAATGGTTTGGTAATTTTTTAATGCATTGTAGAATAATTCTATTAAAATGACGTATCTCTTAACTATGGGGATATGTTCTGAGAAATGCGTCATTAGGTGATTTTGTTATGGGAACATCGTAGAATGTACTTACACAAACCTAGATGGTAGAGCCTACTATACATCTAGGAGGTATAGCCTATTGTTCCCAGGCTAGAAATCTGTTTAGCATGTTACTGTAGTAAATAGACAAACAAAATGGCATTTGATTCTAAACATATCTAGACATAGAAAAGGTAATGCATTGTGCTGTCATGTTAAGACAGCTACAACATCACTGGGTAATAGGAATTTTTCGGCTCCATTATAGTCTTAAGGGACCACCATCATGCATGTAATCCCTCCTTGACTGAAACCTTGTTATATGGTATATGACTGTACTTCCAGAGTGTTTACCATATGTCAGGCTTTTTCTAATTGTTTGTGTTAATTGTCTTACTCAATTTTTAAAGCAAGCCTCACCGGTAGCTGTACAGCTATTTCCGTATTTTTATAGATGAGGAAACCAAGGTACAGACAAGTTCAGTAACTTGCTCAGGTTACGCAGTAGTCTGATTTCATAATCCATACATAACTACTGTAATAAACTGAATCTTTAGGCTTCTTGTTTGAGCTTTTGATATCACTAATACCTCTTATAAGATTATCTCATTTAGGAAAATTGCCCTGAATTTGACATTTGTTTTTGTTTTTAGGCAGGGTCTTACTCTGTCACCCAGGCTGGAGTGCAGTGACGCAATCATGGCTCACTGCAGCCTCAACCTCCACAGGCTCAGGTGATTCTGTCACCTCAGCCCCCTGAGTAGCTGAGACTACACGTGCATGCCATCACACCTGACTAATTTTTGTGTTTTTTGTAGAGATGGGGTCTGCTGTGTTGCCCTAGGCTGGTCTCAAACTCCTGGAATCAAGCAATCCACCCGCCTCAGCCTCCCACAGTGCTGAGATTACAAGCATGAGCCACTGCACCTGGCAATGTTTGTTACCTATGTTCATATGCAAATTTCCTTGAAACGCCATAAGTTAAAGAAAATGTACCAGTAACTTTGAGACACCTAACAGCAGGCTTTTTTTCTATTTGCCACAGTTTCTTTCATGATAATATGGAAGTTTTTATTATTCTCACAGTTTTGAGAGGAAAAATCTAAAATTCCTTAATAATTTACTAGAGGTAGGTGAGGCTTTGAAATAACAATTAGAACTGTTACCTAGGAAACTTTAAACACTGGGTATTTGCAAACTGATTCTTTAATTATTAAAAATGCTGTTTAATTAGTTAAGTAACTAGCACATAGGAAACACTTAGATGTGTCACTTGTTTTTTTCTTCTTCAACTCCTTTTTCCTAAATAGTAACAGGGATCTGGAAACAGATTAAGACTTTTTGAGTCTGATACATCTGTACATTGTACTTCTTTTCAACTTCTTTCCTGGAATGACAGGACTATACTTCCTATAGTAGAATAAAACCACCTCTGTCCCAGTACCAAATATTTATCCATGTCTTATTAGCTAACTAGTGCCAACTATTTGGAATTTAAAATATTCTACCCTGTCTTTATTCTTTCTTCAGATTGGAAAAATAACATAGGGCAAAGAAAAGACTGAGTTTTGAAGCCAGGTGTTTCTTCTGTTTATCTGTGTAATCTTGAATGACTTACTGTTTCTGGACCTGTTTCTTCATTTGTATATTTTTATCTTGTAAGATGAGTTTTGCAGAGGTTACAGAACTAACAAAGATAACTGTGGAAGAGTACTTTGACACTGTACTCATTCTCAGTCTCTTTCTTCTATAATCAGAGTATCTCATAATTCCTAATCTTCACTGATGACTGTTTAATCCTACATGAAAAACACTAGTACAGAATAGGCAACAATAAATGGAAACTATCATAATTACCATTTATAGCAAAACACTATAATAAAAATCTCTAATCCATCATGAGGAAAGGATAGAGTCTTGTTTAGTAAAGGCTAGGACACAAGTTACCGATATTCAAATAATTAGAATATAATACATTTTTTTTTTCTGAGACAGAGTCTTGCTTGCCCAGGCTGGAATGCACGGGTGCAATCTCTGCTCACTGCAACCTCCGTCTCCTGGGTTCAAGCAATTCTCCTGCCTCAGCCTCTTGAGTAGCTGGGACTATAGGCATGTGCCACCATGACTGGCTAATTTTTGTATTTTTAGTAGGGACGGGGCTTCACCATGTTGGTCAGACTGGTTTTGAACTCCTAACCTTGTGATCCTCCCACCTCAGCCTCCCAAAGTGCACAGTATTCTGTAAATCATATTATTCTAGTTTAGTTTTGGGGGATTCAGAATCTACTTCAGGATTTGACAGCACCTGTTGGTCATCACTATGAACATCATTTTTTTGGAGTTAGATGCATAGAGATACTAGAAAATAGAACTTTGAGTAATAAAATCCCAGATCTCAGCTTTTGCTTTGTCCTTTAACAAGTATCATTTACATTCCAAAGCATTTTATAAAATACATATACATATGTATTTTGTATATATATAATGTATATATAGAAACTGAGTTATGGATAAATTTTTTAGATTAATAATTTAAATTTCTTTTTGCCATGTTTTGTCCTGTAGACTTAACCATTAAGTAGAAATTGAGTCTCGGAGCCAGATACACAACCTAAAAATCAATAGTGGGGGAAAAAATGAAGATGAAAGCAGACGTACGTACTAGACTTGCTGTTCCTGAAGTTAGGTTCTGACATTTTTATCATGCTTTATTTCAAGTCAACAAGAAAGGGAAAAATGAGAATAGCAATTTAAAACAGTGTAGTCATTGCACTGTGGGCAGTCTCTTATCATAGGATTAGGAACTTAGGTTGTCATTGCACTTCATTCTTGCTGTACTTCCTAATCTGCTTCCAGTCTCAGAGGTACCAGATAAGGCCAGGTTCTTGCTTTTCCCCCGGTCTGTTATCACAGGTAGTTTTGTGCTTGAAATGAGGGCCTTCAGAGGTTACAGTATCATTTCAAAATGCCACAGTATCATAACTGTTGTGATACTCTGTCTCAGTGGTCTTTCAGTTATTAATTTCCTGTGTCATAGGTGGTTGTTGCATTTAAAATTTGTATATATGATTTTTTTGAAAATGAGATTTTGATTTCTACTTTCTAATGCTAATTTCTATTCAATCTGGGTCATAAAATTATGCCTTTATGTTACAGTTCCTATGCCTTTCAAATATAGATAGTAACTATTCCACTTTAGAGTTTTTTATGGGGTTAAAATAATGTGGATGTGCAGTGGTTAAAAGAGCTGTACAAATAATAGGATGTTATTTATCTACTTTGTTATTTAACCTAGTCTCTGAGCTTACCTTTCCTAGTTAATTATCTTCTGGCACTCTCATGATTACTTAAAAGGACCAAGAACACATTCTATAGCAGTTTATACTGAATATTAAGAACTTCTATTTGGTTTGGTTTTAACAGTGCTAGTATGTGATCCAGAAAGGGTCAGAGTTATTTGTTGTGATTATACTGTCATCTTGACTGTATATTACATTGTTCCTTTTTACTTGTAAATGAATTCAGGGAGGGAATATTACTTAAATCCTATAGATTGCTTTAGTATCTCATAGTTGGCAGTCAGTGTCCTCTCTCTAGCATTAATTAATTACATCACAGCCCACAAAGTTGTTTTTAGACCACATGTTGGTAAGAAATTGAGTTATGTCTTTATTTGGGGGACTGCTTTGGACGTGTTCTTTTTGCATGTGAAACAATCAACCTAATAATATTTCTCAGATCATCAAAGGTTTTTTTTTTTTTTTGGTCAGAGCAGTCCTTATTAATATATGTTGTTTCTTTTAACCATTTGACCTTTCATCTAGTTTTTTTTTTTTTTTTCCAAAACATGAATATACAGAAGAATGCTTAGAATAA